CGCCCCATCGCCCGCCACTGCGTGCGCTCTGGCCCGGCCCCCTCTTTCCCCACGCCGAACAGCGCACCCCACTGCGTGCGCTCTGGCCCGGCCCCCTCTTTCCCCACGCCGAACAGCGCACCCCACTGCGTGCGCTCTGGCCCGCCCCCCCCCTTCCCCACACCGAACAGCGCACCCCACTGCGCGCGCTGCATGCACTATGGCCTGGCCAAGGTCCCCCCCGCACCGAACAGCGCACTGCATGCACTATGGCCTGGCCAAGGTCCCCCCCGCACCGAACAGCGCACTGCATGCACTATGGCCTGGCCAAGGTCCCCCCCGCACCGAACAGCGCACTGCATGCACTATGGCCTGGCCAAGGTCCCCCCCGCACCGAACAGCGCACTGCATGCACTATGGCCTGGCCAAGGTCCCCCCCGCACCGAACAGCGCACTGCATGCACTATGGCCTGGCCAAGGTCCCCCCCGCACCGAACAGCGCACTGCATGCACTATGGCCTGGCCAAGGTCCCCCCCGCACCGAACAGCGCACTGCATGCACTATGGCCTGGCCAAGGTCCCCCCCGCACCGAACAGCGCACTGCATGCACTATGGCCTGGCCAAGGTCCCCCCCGCACCGAACAGCGCACTGCATGCACTATGGCCTGGCCAAGGTCCCCCCCGCACCGAACAGCGCACTGCATGCACTATGGCCTGGCCAAGGTCCCCCCCGCACCGAACAGCGCACTGCATGTGGTCGGAGGCCTTGGCGGGGCGCAGGGCTCGCTCTGATGGCCGTTGTCTGCAGGGTAGTCACAAGCTCACGGTGCACTGAGCCCGTACACAGCCAGCAGGGCACGATGCCGCCCTCCACGTACCCCAGGAACTCTGCCTCCACTGGCTGCTGGGGGCCCCGGGTCCTGGGGGCCGGCACGTGAGCAGGTTCTCCAGGAAGAAGACGGTTCCTGATTTTGGGCCGCGCCCCCCCCTCCTCTCTGGCAGTGGCTGGCAAAGAGGGAGGAGGGGGTGGGTCAGCAGGTGCCCATCCACCAGGCCAACTCCAGGGGCAGCTGGGGAAAGTCTTCCGGTGCCAGTGCATGTGGGGCGCGTACCCGACTGGAATGGACGTGAGCTCAGAGCTGTTTTCTCCCCAGCTCTGGAAGGGGAACGGGCTCCAGTAGGTAAGCCGGGGGAGGGGGAAAGGAGCTGGCTCCTCTCCCTGGCTCCCAATATCTTGGCTCCCAGCCCGCTGCTTTAACCTCTAGGTCCCACGCCTTTCCCCTAGCCAGGGAGAGAACTCAGGAGTGCTTGGCCCCTGGTGCCTTAGCCACAGCCCCCACCCCAAAGCCAGGGAAAGGGGGTGAGGGCTGGGTCCCTGCAGCTCTGGCTGCCCAGTTCCCATCTCTCTCCCGCCCGCAGCCGTCACCCAGCGTCACATCGGAGGAGACT